CTACAAATCTGCAAGTCTTCCATGAGTACTGTGAGAAATGCAGGAAGGCAGACAATTTACATAATTTCCAATATAAATAAAAGTACTGCTTAATTACGGGAGGAGTTTTCAGTTTGAACACAGCCATGCAAATAATGGAAAACACAAATAAAGCAGTGATGGTCTCCCCGGACACACGTGGTGCTTTGCGGCTGTTCTACAGGAGTTGAGTAGCAAACATTCCTCTTTTCCCTGAGAACAACACAAAAGCAGCCCTCTTCTGGGCATGTTATTGGAGGTGGGGAGTGGGACACACCTGAGACTTATAAAGCCAGGCTGTCCTGCGCTGGCTTCTCCGCTGTGGTGGCTGCATTTCCAGCCAGCTGTTATCAAGCTGTGTTGTGACAGACAATGGCTGGCACAAATGTGCAATCTCCAGAGACAAGAGGGAGCATTCATGAAATCCTTAATCTCATCTAGCAAAGCTGGCCTGTAGACCCAGAGATTACGGAGGTCTTCTGAAATTCAATGAATATTCTTTTGTGTTCCTGAACTATGGCTATATGTGAAAACAAATGTCTAAAAAATGGCCACTGAAGAAAAACAATTGAATGTTGGGTCTTCCTGGCCTTTCCCCATATACACATGACTGCCGACCCCTAACTTAGAAAAAGATAAAGAGTTAAATAAATCGTCCCTGAAAATAGAATGGGAAAAATCAAACCCACTTGACCGTATCTGACAGCTATACATGTATTGATGGCAAGAGAAACCAACCAGACACACCACAGTCACACCAGGGAGTCTTCCAGCTGAATCCAGCCCACAGGGACTGCCTCCTCCAGGTGGTTATTTGACAGCCTGGCATCTCTGTTAGGGATGCCTCGAATGGTAACTCAAACACACACACACACCCCTGCCTACTTTTCTATTTATTTTTTTTCTCTCTCAATCCTAAAGCTATTCCAGATTGAATCTCAGGCATAAACAGAAGGGAAAGATATAGTGAACACACATGTCCTCCATCAAAGACAATCCTAAGGTTAGAATACCAAAGTGGATGCACAAAGCTACACGCAGCAGACATATGGAAGCCACTGAGCATGGGGGGAAAATGAGAAACGGAAATGTGCTCTTTACGGGCATTAAAGCCCCCCCATACACTCTCATGCACACACACTCATGTACACTGTCATGCACACACTCACATGCACAC